TTAGTCAGTTGGACGATATTAAAGAGCTGCAGAGAAGTGCTAGCGAATTAAGTCCCAAGAGGTTGCCAAAATATCCAAGTCATGTAACTTTCAACATTTCTGGCAATTTGGCATTCTGGAAAATCAATTCATGCCAAAATTTGTGAGTTGTGAAATTAAAGCGTGAAAACAATTCAGGCTTGAACAGGATTCAAAACCATGGCCATTGCAATACTGGTGCAGTGCTCTGCCAACTGAGTTATCAAGCCAACTGGGAGCTGGTCATATTGAATTGTGAGTTTAATTTGTGGTATAGAGCATTGGAACACCAATATGGCTGCCGTGATGTCATGTGATAACGCTCTATACCCGTAGTTGTGTGTATAACTGCGATGATCAATCATGTCTTATATCTTTCTCTGCAGTTCAAATATATCTTTGTTATTATATAGCCAGCTCCATGAGTGGGCAAGATGAATCAAATCCTGCATTGTGATTGGCTACCCGAGCGGGCAAGGTGGAGCTATCTTGCCCGCTCGGAACTACCCGTCCTGTCCTGCAAGAAAAATTTCCCTGAAAGCCATATAAAAAATCCTTTATTGACCAAGCTTGTTTGGTCAAGATGGCTTGATATTGGCCTCGTTCTTTTTTTGAGTGTTTATGGACCTCGATTCCGCCTCGGTCCATAAACATGCAAAAAAAAGAACTTGGCCAATATCCAGCCATCTTGATCTCACACTTGGTCAATAACCCATATATTTGCTTGAACATTACATAATGCTGGACATCAATTATTAGTCCTCTCTGCATCCACAGTTCTTGCAGAAAATTAAATTACCATAACTTAGAGGTCTGCTGTGACCATGAATGTACAGTCACATGTCTTTTAATATCCAGTTATTATTTTGTCCCTGTGGATGATCTGGGGCGGATCTAGGGGGTTAAGGCCGGTGCAGTCGAACCCCCTAAAGTAAAAAAAAGAGACATTATAACACACTGACTTGGTCTCAGAATTCTGGAAATCCCATTTCTTAGGACCTACATGTATTGTAATTTATGGTGAGTTGTGTTTTTCCATGCTTATTGTTTTCAGCTGCACCACGAACAGGAATGCCCAGCTTATCCTACTGTTTGTGAAAAGTGCAACAGAGAAAGCATTCCTAGAGCAAAGGTAAAACCACAGATTCATTTATCCACAGTTTTTTTCGTTGCTTTTCTGTTAAATGCGTTTACATTAATTTTGGATTAATTTGGATTAATATTGCATATTGGAATTTGTCACATATCCTGAAACATTGCTCATTGCTTGTACAGTTTTGAGAGCAATGGCAATTAAGAGTCTGAGACTTCAAGGGGCTTACAACTGAAATTGAAAAGAGTTTATAACGTCTGTTAAAAATTGTGTAATGTACATGTAGGCTCCATTTGTACATGTAAGTGGGTTAAGATTTTCGCAGTTTTTCACTATTTTAATTTATTTAGTGCTTCATGAATTGTTAGATTTCTATGAAAGTTATACTAAAGCCCAGTCCTCACTTGCGACGCAAGCATACATGTACATGTAAGCATAAACATATATAGCATATGTAGATAAAAGCTTATGCACTAGTGGGGACTGCCACGACATAAGCATAAGCATAAGTGTTGTTCTCATGCTTATGCTTACATGTATGTTCAGTGAGGACATGATTGACATAAGGATAAAGGCCTTGTTGATTGGCTGATAGTCCTATACTTAGCATAAGCATAAGCATAAGCGTAAGCATAAGCATAGGAAGAATGCAAGGTTTTGGTATTCCCATACTGCAAATATGCTTGTGCTTATTCTTATGTCACGGCCATCCTCACTAGTGCATAAGCTTCTTTTATCCATACTCTTATGCTTGCGTGGCTTAAGTGAGGACTGGGCAGGAGACGTTTTTGTCTTTCTGCCAGGTTTTAGTATACTTCTACTAGTACACTAATGCAAATGCTGCAATCTGATTGGCTGACCTATTGCACTCTATCAGCCATAATGCATTAGTATAAATCTACAAGCATTCTATCACAAAAGCTGTTCTCTTACTGGTTAAGCTATACTCACTATCTGTTCTGCTGTAGATAGTGGAGTTGCCTGAAAAAGTGTGCTCTCTCTCTCTTGCTTAAGGTTTCAATATTCTCTTTGCTTGCACCATCATTACGTCAGCAGCTCGTGCTAGTTTCTTCATTTCTGTGGAGTTATTGAGGTACAGATTTAAGCATGCGTTTTCTTACAGGGTGTTATCTAATTAAGGAATAATGCCTCGGTTCCTTGAATGTACTGTTAAGTTTGTGCTGTGATCAAGTTTTCTATGGATGTTACATGGATTCCTTCCTGAGGTGGCATAGAGAAATCACTAAGAGTTCTCTTGTAGTCTTGAATGGACTATCATATCACAGTATAGTTTCAGAAATTGATGTTATATTGCTCTTTGTAAAAATTAATATTATTTTCAGGAACTGATGGGCCATTGGGTTTTAGAGGACTGTGTACAATCTTAATAGTTGTGCCACTTTTTCGTTTATCTTCCAGTTGTTACAACATCAAGATCCTGTTATAGGAGACTGTGATGGCATGCAGGGACCATGTCCATTTTCACAGATTGGCTGCTATAAGACTGAGGTATATACTCATTGTTTCACTTACTGTAAATTACAACTACATTTACTATGGGCAAATCCTTGGTCAGCATTATCATTCTCCTCGCTGCTTTTCATTCATCATTCATCACTCTTTAATCAGTTGCTTTGGGAGAATATGTTTTTTGGATTTTTTGCAAGCTATACTGACCTATACTTTCTACTTTGACACTACCTCCCTGGAGCTGAGTGCACGTCTCATGTAAATAATCATATTTAATTCTACAATTGAATGAGATTTATCTGTGAGGTAAAAGTTGATTTGGATTCTCTTGTGATCAGTCCGAAACGAACTACTCAGGAGTAACATGAGAAGATGTGTGCTTGATCACAGTTATTGAGCCATAATTTAAAGAGTACACGCCGTAATTTTTGTGAAGGATTGGAATGAAGTATATTCTACCCCCGTGTGATTTCCAAAATGTTGAGTGAAGTTGTACAGGTAAAAAAAATAATATATAGATTTAGCCAAGCCTTAAAGCAGAGCTCCTGGGCCGGTTGTTCAAAGCCCGATTAAGCTAATCCAGGATAGGCGAGAATTTTGATTTGAGTTTTGTAACTTTACGGTGAGGTTTTCTGTTTATGTTGTTTGGCCTTGTTTTGAGTTTGAATAATCCCAAGGTCCTCAAATACACGAAACAAAAGCAGTGAAAAAAATTTGTATACAGGAAAAATTTATACCTCGGTTAACTTTTATAATCTTGCGTTAGCGTTAACCAGCTTCTTAACAACCCGGCCCTGGGGCCTGTTTCTCGAAGGTCCCTAAAAGTTTTTGCACCCGCAGAAAGCCATAGTAAAATCTCGAACCTTATGATTACAGAGCTACTCTATTCACATATTCTTGATATGAACAGAGGCTCCCTTCATACAAAAAGTTTCAGGCGTATACGCTTCTCCATTTTTAGATAGAGATGAACTAAAAGTTTCCGTGGCTTTCGAGAAATGGGCCCCTGTTTACAACAAGTTAACCTGACATGAGCCCGCGATCCATTCTATAAGGGAGAGGTCAACTTTGCTTGCGTAGCCACGCGATTGCGCGGCCGATCATCTTGGCCATTATGACGTCACTTGGGAGCGGACCTGTGAAGTTTCAATGGCCGTTAAAAGTGACGCCGAAAAAGTTTTTCAACCGATGATTGCTCTAAGAATTTGAAAGAAAGCGATCAACAGACCACAGGAATACGATAACCTGTTAATAATATGTCCAAAAAGGCTATGGCTTACAAAAACTAGATGTCCGAAGGCAGAAAAAAAGAGGCAAAATTTCGAGATCGCTCAACTGAAAATGCGATTGAAAAGTGAAGCTTTCTGCTTATTTCTTGGGCAATATCTGGAGAACTCAACAATGAACAACAAGAACACAAAAATATGATCTTGATATGCTTTAAATATAACATATGCATAAAAATGATCAGTGGGTTTAATTAAACCCATTATTTTGTAGACGATAGCGTGGAGGACCTGCTGATCAATACTTGAAACCCTCGAAATACGAGAAAGTATTAGATGGAAAATGCTCCCTTACAAAGACATTTGAACTATCAAGCCATGTGCTGGGTTGGAAAGTAAATAATGTACCAAGGAATTATTTTTCTGCGCTAAAATTATCCGCAAAACCATCAAAGATAACAATATTTTCTTCTGCGAGGCTAAGCAGCTGAAGCAAGCTTCCGAACAAACGTGTGGATATTTAAAATGGTAAAATGATACAAAATCACTGTGGGGGAGACGTAGATGAAACGGATGATATTCAGAATAACATGGACGAGACCTCTTGGCAGAACAGAGCTCCATTTCATGTCAAAATGTTCGTCAAATATGAGTTGGAACAGGATCTGTTTCCTCGGGCGTCCGCATGCAACCTTTTTCTGAACTTCTGACAAGAAAGGCATCCTAAGCTGGTGCTTTGGGTTCTAATTTTTTTTATCATTTCTCAGTGAGTTCACTTAAACTGTATAGACTGTAAAAAAACAAAAAACAAAAAAAAAAACTGTGTAGTTGACACACAAGTTCACGGAAGGAAAGAACTGAAAAATAGAGAATTTGGTTCCAAGCAGCAAGTAAATTAAGACACTTCCTATGCTAAGGCATTGCCAATAAGAGTTAACTTATCCAGGAGAAACTTGACTTATTACCAAAACAAAGAGTTTCGTTAAAGAAGGTTTGACAATGCTGGAAAGATCAATATCAGGTGATATCTTATTATAACCAATCCCCTTGTTTTGTATGTGTATGTGTCTTGAGAAACTGTAATAGCTTTACTGCCTCTAAGTTTGAAATGATAATCAATTATTTTCTTTATGCGTT